GCGCGGCCGGCGTCTCGCTGCTCGAGCCGCCGCTGCAGCTCTACTGGACCTGGCTGCTCCAGTGGATCCCGCTCTGGATGGCACCCAACACCATCACCCTCATCGGCCTCGTCATCAACATGGTCACTACGCTCGTGCTCATCTCCTACTGCCCCACGGTCACCGAGGAGGTAGGGCTCACCGCCCGCCCGCCCGCGCCTCGTCACCCAACTGCTGTCCCCGAGCCCAGCCCTGGGTAGCCAGAGGCGCTGGGAGTGGGAGGGGTGACCGGTGTGCCACTGAGCATCCCCGTGGCCGCGAAGGGGTGGGCACGGCCTTTGCTTCTGAGTCCATCGCGGACGGTTTCACTGTCCCCGCGCGGACACACCCGGAGCCTCTCCCGGGTCGCCTAAAGGCAGTCACGCCACCACCCTAGTCCTGTGACCGCCCTGAGCCTTCCCCTAGCAGAGAGCAGCGGAGGGGCTGTCAAGGTCAAGGTCTGGTCCCATGTCCTCCCACATAGATGCCAACTTGTGGTTTGGACCAGCAGTCCGGGTGCTTTGCATACTAAGGACTGGGCACCCTCATCACTGTTCTTCCTGGAGCAAGGATCTGAGGTGGGGTCAGCCAAGCCCAAATTGCCCTTTGGACACTTTTATAATAGTTTGTTTCTCAAAGGTGGTGGTAGTAGTGATCAAAGATAAGTAACCTGTAAGAGACAACTTCCTCTTTGCCTCATTGACTTTTTCAAGAAAAACAAGCTAGGGTAGTATGAAAGTGATAATCCTTATCACAACTGAGAGATTATAAAAGCCAACAGATCTTATTAGCAATAATTATATTGGACCTATGTCTAAAGTAAGAAGAGTAAATAACCCGGGCTTTGGACAACTGTTAACCAGGAGCACATCATAAGCTGAGTGTAGAGGAGATCTAGGGTGGCAGAGTGAAGGGTCACTTTTAGCTAAAGTGCTGGGATAATATTGCATGGCACATTCTTTGACATTGCTTTCCTTTCTTTGTCTTACAAATAGTGAAGTCCCTCCATCACCACTATAGATAGATCTGTGAAAGATTAGTGAGAATTGAGGTTGGATAAGAGAAATACTATGGAAATACCTGCAAGTGTTTTTAAATTTTGTTTGATGGAGCCCATTGGTGTGGCGTATGCCTGTAATGCCAGCTACTAAGGAAGCTGAGCCAGAGAATCTCAAATTCAAAGCCAGCCTGGGCAACTTAGTTGAGACCCTGCCTCAAAATAAAACAAATTTAAAAGGCTGGCACTAAAGTTCAGTGGTAGAGCACTGGGGAGAAAAGTCTGATGGAGCCTTCATTTTAACATGTCTTGCCAGTTGATGGATATGTTTATTATGTGTTTCTTAGTCATTCCCATTATTGTTCATTTCCGAATTGTTAGGGAAAAAGTAAGCTGCTTTAGTATTTGTTCTTTGCTGCTCAATTCTAGAATTTCCCAGAAGCAGGGTATTAGAATGAAAAGATCGCTGAGTTGGAAGTGGAAGACTTGAATTCTCATCTCGCCATGGCACAACAAACCTACAGAATCTGCTTTCCCATGTTGAAAATAAAAAATAATGCCATCATACCAATTTTACAAGGAAGCAGTGAGAGACAAATGATGTATTATATGCAGATAAAGACAAGACCTCATTAACACATTAAAAATATACTGTTTTTAAACAATGTCCTGAAAATGCACATGAAAAATTAGTTTTGATTGGGCGTAGATTTGGCAAAAAACATCTGGACATTATTAGCCAATATCAAAAACATCTGATATTGGCCAATTAAATTGTGAACTCTTAGATGTTATTATTAATTAAAGAATACTTTGCTAAGCACTTTAATAACAATACACATACAAACAAGTCCAAAAGCTTCTGTTTAGAGGTGGAGGGGATGCCTGATGGGAGAGGTAAATTTATGATATTAATTTTAGGCTCAGAGTAGTTTTTAAAAAGGGCATGAGGTGAAGATCTGAAGCACTTGAATTGAAAAATCAGAGTGACCCCACAAGGGGGCATAAGGATTAACATAATAAGATGAAACTGGAGGACTTTCTGAAATGGGTGTCATTAGATCCTTAACTGGCTTCTAAGTGGCTGAAGCAGGGAGAGGAAACACCCTTTCAGGATCCACATTGCTTGTTTGATAAAAATCCCAGCAGTAGTGTGAAAGAGCATACCAGTTTCTGGCTATTTTGCCTTAAGGTCACAGAATGGGTAAATGAGACAGGACCAGGTAAGATTCAGGTCTAAGCTGGTCTGCCTGCAAAGTTCATATTGTTTTTGCTACACATTATCTCATTTGGAGTTGCTCCTTTTCTCTGTGCATGTGGGAAAACTCCTTATGCCTTATATAATTCAGGTATGTAAAGGGCATTCACATCATTGTTGAATTTGTGTCCTGTGTCAACCCAAAGAAGTTGGTAAGCTTTCCCTTCCTGGCATAGCCTTTCTGCCCTCTCAGTATTTCTTCTCCATTCAGGAAATAACAGTAGTACATCATTTTGTAAGAGAAAATTGAAGCCCAGAGAGGTTAAGTGATTTTAACCTGTCTTGGGACTTGTTTATGGATTCTCAGACTTAAGAATTTTTTTTTTTTAGAGAGAGAGAGAGAGAATTTTTTAAATATTTATTTTTTAGTTATTGGCGGACACAACATCTTTTGTTTGTATGTGGTGCTGAGGATCAAACCCGGGCCGCACGCATGCCAGGCGAGCGCGCTACCGCTTGAGCCACATCCCCAGCCCCCAGACTTAAGAATTTCACAGTACCTAACAGATTGTTTCCAGAAAGGGACAAAGCAATCACATAAGGGTTTTTACTATGGTTTTTAATATGGTTTATCTACCCAAAAAGCCTGCAATACTGTCTACAATAATATGATTTTATATATTTTGTAACTACTATGTTAATTTCTAGGACATGACTAGGGATGAAGAGAAACTGATAGGAAAAAACCTTGTGATTTATATTAAGCATCTACAGTGGTGCTCTGAATTGCTTTTCAAGCTGTCTTTTCTGATAATGGTACTAGGGATTGAACCCATGGGTGCTCTACTGCTAAGCTACATCCCAGGCCTTTATTATTTTGAAACAAGGTTGCTCAGGCTGGCCTCCAAACTTGCTCTCCTCCTGCCTCAGCCTCCTGAGTAGCTGGGATTACAGATGTGCACTACTCCACTGGTACCCAATTGCTACTTATCTTTCAGTGCCCAATTCTAACATTGCCTTCTTATGAAGTTTTTCTTCCTCTCCCAAGTCAAATCAACCACTTATTCCTCTGAACTTCTGCAATAATAACAACAATAATAACTAACATTTACTGGATATTTAATACATGCCAGGCATTATTTTAAACTGCTTTTGTTCTATTATCTCACTGAATCCTCCCAACAACCTGAATAAGGTACTATTAATACTTGTAGTTTATAGGTGAAGAAACTGAAGGGAAATTTACCTCTTCTAGGTGACTTAGCTTTAAGTGAGGACAGAATTCCAATCCAGAAAGCTGTTCTCCTACCTCACAGGCTTTTGTGGATTTTGTGGAAGTTAAAAAACAGAACAGATGTTATATTAGGGTACTGGATACAATTGATGCTGATGATAGACCTGGCCCAGGAGTACTCTTCTGTGGAACTTCTGCATTTTATTTTGATGCTGTGTGTTCTTACTGAGCAGGAAAACCCATCAGCTTTCAAGTTTAGACAGAAATTGCTCATTTGTATAATCTCCATAGCACAGTGCCTTGCATAAAGCAAATTCTTATTGGGTATTTATTAAATTATTGGCTGCATGAATGAAATAACAATGTACTCTTGAGAGATGATGTCTTTCAACTTTTGTTTAGTTTTAGCTGATCTTGGATTAAAAATGCTTATCAATTGTTTGGCCTGAGTAATTTTAAGAAGTAAGCAAGTATTAGGATGAATGGAGAAAACAAGAACTGCATCATCTCCTTCCCTCATGAGGCAGATCTGTTTGAACTCCACTCTAAGTATGTAGCCCCTGACCCCATTCCTTGGTTTTCTTATCCAAAAGTAGAATTATAGGTTCTTAGAGTTTGAAAGAACCTGAGAGTTTATTTGATGCAATTTCTACATTTATACATGTGATAACTCAGTGATTCAAATCTAGTTTTTCTAGCTGTAATGTAGTAGCATTCTCCACTACAAAACACACCATACATTCATTTTTGATTAGTTTAAACCTTTGATTTCATTATCTTTTACTTATTGGATTAAATTTTTTGCCCTGCCTTGTTCATCTGTCCCATAAATCCACGCCAGTATCTCTTTTAAGAGTATGTTGAGGCTGATCTTGAATTAAAAATGCTTATCAATAAATGATGCTTGATAAATTAAAGTGCCTAGCTTGGGCCAGGTCAGAGGGCATTGACCAATTCTTATGTTTGTGATGACAGAGTTGAACCAAAAGGTAAAAATACCTGGGGAAGTAGCAGGATGTTAAGAAATAGTTCACACCTGTTTAAATAACTGAGATTATAGCTGCCTTTGTACTGTATAGTAAAGAGTTATTTGTTGGGGTCAGGGGAATGATAGGAAAAAAAGGCAATAACCTGCATATTCTTACTCAGATGTTTTACTAACAGGTTTGGTTTCTTTGAATTCTGGTACATTTCCTTTTTAATCACCTTCTTCTCCACCTCCCCCCCACTTTTTAACAACAGTTCATTAATTTATCAAGCATCATTTATTAAGGCAGAAGACTTGTGAGGGAGTAACCTCTTTTATTAAAACAAAATATAAACTCCTGACTTTCAGAAGATGAAAGTTCTAGAAACAGGACAGAGTCTAGGATGAGGTAAGTCCAGACCTCTCTATATAAGGAGGCACTTGAGGACCTGGGAACAGATGCCCCTTTGATTCTGCAGCTGAGGTGCCTCCTCACCTTTCCCCAGTCCAGCCCTGTCTAGAAGGAACCCCTTAGTTTTCCTTTGTGGTTTGTTCTTTTAACTCCTATGGCTTCACTGTACTGAATTCCCAAAGCATAAACTGTTTCTCCTTTAAAATTCTGGGTCAAGTGTTGAAAAAACATGGCATTGTGGTATAGAGAAAGAACATTAAAACCCTACTTACTCCTGGGGCATTTGACTAGGGCCACAAGGATTGGACCACCTGGATTTTGTGACTTAGGGCACCTGATACAAT